AATTACCGCATGTTGTCCGACGGCAGTATCGAAATTCACTTGCGCCGCTTCTCCTGTTAAGATGGTAAAGCCCTCCAAAGCGTCGGGACCAGGCTGCACGTGATACAAATTAGCCAATGAGCTGTCAGTCTGGGTCACTGCGGCGAGCCACTTTTAGACACAGCAGACAAACCTATGGCAAGCCGGGTGATGGGAAAGAAGGAGTAGTGAGAAAAGGAAAGCAGAGAAAGTGTGGATTGCTGGAAGAACCACAGTGAACTGGTGAAAGAAATGTGAAACGGTGTGCTCAAAGATTATCCTGCACATTTTTAATATGTTTGGCTCAACCTACTGCTGTGAAGCAGGATTCTCCATGAAGAAAATCAAAAATAAATAAGGATCCAGGCTCAAATTGAGCACCTTGATATGTGCTTGATAATGGCTTTGTCACCAATCAGGCCCAGGTTTAAAGTCTTGCAGGTCAGCCTAAAGCCCACTGCTCTCATTAAGCCATAAAAAAGAAAAAAACAAAAACAAACAGTCAGGTGTTTTATAAAATATGTGAATCATGAAATTGTCTATATACCAAACTGAACGACTGTTGTTCTCTACTTCAAAAAATATAATAATTAAAAATGTCTCCGGACCTTTACTGGTTAATGATTTTCTTATTCAGACCCCACTGATTTTTAATTGGTTACCCCTGCCCTATATTATACACAGAATTAATATTTCATTATCTGTTTATTTGTATATTAAGAATATGGAATATTTCTGTCTTGGGTGTATGTATGGTAAAAATATGATTAAAGATAAATATATTCAGTGATTTGGCTTTTTACACAAAATGCAGCGGTCAGAAACACTAAGCATGTTGCAGTTTCTCTACTACAGATACCAGATCTTAAGCTTCTGCAAATTTCTTGTGACCTGACATCTGCCTTCTTAAATTATTAATTCTAACTGGGAATGAAACAGCTGCTGTGGTGTTTTATATTAGTAAGCTAAAGCTGGTTGGGCAGCAGACATCCTCTGTGGTTTCAATCTGGTTGGTCAAATGTATATTCATATATCTTGAATATAAAATATATGACATTTTAGAGCTGTCGTTCATGGTTGAAACTTATTTTTTCACAACTTTTATATGATACTGATTAAAGGAAGTCATTTTCCAGGCTCAAATTGTGGTATATACTTGCTCTGAATTTAAAATGTAAGATTTAATAGACATTAACTCTGTTTGGGAGGTTCAGGATGCCTATTTGCTCAAAGTGGAAAATAACCACTCATGATTAAAAAAAAAAAAAAAAAAAAAACCTCACAACATAAAACTCCACATTGAAGGAGACATGCTTTCTGTCCTGCTTCTGATCATTGCTGCTACTCTGATGTCGACTGACGTAAAACAGAACCCTTATGTTTTTGTAACCACTCTGTCAAAGCTGATTATGGTGAATCCTGTAGAAATTCTGTAAAGTCAGAACGTTACAAAACCACTTCAAGCTAATGCTTCACATGTGGATTGAAAGGTAACTAAATGACTTATGCAAAATCATAAAGCAGCATTAAATACTGTCTTTAGATTCACATGTAAACTTACAGAAGGAGAGTCAGAGAGGGTTTGCAGTCCATACTCTCATTTTATCTGTGTTGTCACTCAGTAAGTGTTCTGATATTTTTTGTGATTTTTTTTTGTTAAAAACACAAAACAAAGTGTTGTTTTTTGAACTGTGCCCTGATGGTCCAAATGAGGGATCATAATCAGTATTTGGAGTGAAGCAGGTGCTATACTGGTCTGTTGTGGTAATGAGAGACAACTGAGCCAAAAGGTAGAGCTCTCAATTTACTGGTCGATCTATGTTCCTACCCTCATCTATGGTCATGAGCTTTTGGTTATGACTGAAAGAAGAGATCCCCGATACAAGCGGCTGAAATGACTTTTCTCTATAGTGTGTCTGGGCTGTCCGTTAGAGATAGGGTGTGTAGCACAGTCATCTCCGTAGGACTCAGAGTAGAGCGCGCTGCTCCTCCACGTCAAGAGGAACCAGTTGAGGTGGCTTAGGCATCTGGTTAGGATGCTTCCTGGACGATGGATGGATGGATGGACGGATGGATGGATGCATTTATTTGTGGCTTTAATCTATCTAAAATGTATTTCCCTCGGGGGAAAAAAAAAACTCCTGTTTAAACAAAAATTTGTGGTATAAAAACTGCTTGAGTTCCCTTTTTGGGGGCACTTTCTCCTTCTCCATGGCCATCGCAATAATTATACGTGGAGAGGACACATCCCCTGAAAGCTATCAGGGTCATAAAAACATGACTTCAACTTTTTCTCTTCGACTTCAACTTTCCACTACTGTCCTAGACTCTTCACCATGTTTTCCTGCTAACCCACAATGTTTTACAGCTTTGCTGTTACTACCTGCCCTTGCCATGATCTTGGCGCTGATGACTGGCATAATAACTAACTCTATTCATCTGTCAAACTCTGCCCTGTTTCTAATCACTGCTCATCTGATCCACCTGCTCATGCCTCTATTTAAGGTGCTTGCATCCAGTTATCAGTGCCTGAATATTCTCGTTCTCGTGCCAGTGGTGAGATGTTTTTAGCATACCTTAGTGTTTCTAATTTCCTGCTCCTGACCTGTTTTGCCTCTCAACCACTTAGCTTGCCTGTTCTTGTTTTTTTATCTTTTGGGACTCCTCCTTGTTCTCCATTTGGCGGGCTACAGCATCTGGGACACTCTGGGTGGCGCCCGCCGCATCTTGTTGGCAGCGCAATGGCTGAATCTTACCTTATTCTCAGGACATGGGCTGAACTGTTAAACCAGATGCCCTAGCCGCTGCAGCTGCTGAAGCGCTCATCCGTTTTTAAATAAACGAATTAAATTATTCCACTGTCTTACTTGCTTCGAATACTACGTCCTCTGTTCTGAGTCGTGACAGCCCTGTGATATTGTCAGTTAATCAGGAGGAGAGTTTTGCCAGGTTAGAGCCTTGATCAATTGTAACTGATAAGTGATGGTGGTGAGGAGACAACGGACTGGACTCCTTGATTAATCTGATAAAACATCAACAAGATGATTTTCATTGACGATCTAAAGTCAAAGTAGTTTGTAGCCTGTTGTGAATTAGGTTAACCATATTTTGATTTGTAATAAAGAAGAGACATTACCAATCACTCCAAGTTAACAGAAGATTGTAATCTTATTATATTTTAAGTAGTCTATGCGTCTTTTTAAAAAATAAATTAACAAGCTCCAGGTTGCTTTTTAGAGATCATTAGGTAAAAAATTAACAAAAAGATCTTGGCTTTTAAAGATGGAATTTTCTGTATTAGATTAGGAAGGTTTTAGAAGATGTTTTAGTTATGTCTGTGATGAAAGAAGTGTTTTTTTCCTTTCTTCTATGATCCATCACTTATCATCTCTAATGGTTCACCTTTTCTTTTTTTTCTCTCCCTGAAACACAGATGCACACAATCAATGCTGTGCACAGGCTTATTATTATGAAGGAGTGGTGGACATTTTGGTAGTCAGAATGAATTCTACTTTGTGGAAGTCGTTGATGTCCACTTGCACTGATTTCTAAGAACTCATTGGTTGGCTTCAGGTGTTTTGAAAGAGTTTGCCCCAAAATTAGAAGCTCATCAGACCAATAAAGTCACCATGAGCAGCATGGTGCAGAACGAAAAGCAGCATGAGGCTGGTAAAGCATACTTCAGCCTCTCCCTCTCTAGCCAATACTAGGTCCTCGTGCATTGGCATCAGAAGCACCTTTCAAATGCTTCTGATGCCCCTTTCCTTCTTCCACAAAAACAACAGAAAACCGTTGTTAGCACTCACTCAGTTGTTCAAAGAAGTTCCCAGTAAAGAACCTTACAGGTTGAGATAAAAGGCAGACAGAATGAGCTGGATATGTGATAACAGTGGCTATATTGCAGGGGATGAGCCTCATGGAGCTGAAAGATACAAAGGAAGATTCATGAGATGCAAGGGGAGTCAGACATAAGCAAGGATTCATACTAAATTAGTTTGTGAAAGGATAAGCTAGTGAACGGTGAGAAGAAAAGACAGAGACAGAAATTAAATCTGTTTTTTTCTGGGGAAGTAATTTGTATTTCACACCCGGGAAACCAGAGACAGTGCAGGAGAAGTAAGACAGAACAAGCTGGAGAAGAAATGCGGTAGGCAGAGATCAGATTAGTTTTGGGTGTGATAAAGTAGATGCGCATGTTAGACTGAGAAATCTAATCCTGCCGATAGGGAGGGGAGACAGATCCCACACAGAGAGCACATTAGCTGGATGAAGCTTGGGATAAAACAAGCAAATGTTACATATATTGATAAAATAAGCTGGGTTTAAAAGTCAAGACAGGAAGAAGAGACTGAGAAAAAAGGTCTTACAGGTGGAGAAACAGACAAAATAGTGATTTTTAATAATTTCTAAACTCGAAGCAAAAGACAATGGAGCTAAATAAAAGAAGCAAAATACACATTTGAACTCTTTGTTGCACAAATTTCTTTTTTTTATTCAAATCAGAAAAACATGAACATTGTTGAACAGATTTAGATTCACATTAACGCCAAGTTGTTCATACAATCTGGAAATTTAGATGGTAAAATATATTATGGAGAATGTTCTTTTCTTGGTGGATCATCAAAATAAGTGGTCCATCATTCTGGTGATATGTTTACGTAAGGCAGTCCCACGTGCTCGTCCTCATTTTCACTTACCGATGGTGAGTCTGACATAGTGGAAGAATTGCAAATCCTCTTTTGGAAAGTAATCTTGTATGAGCAATGCAAACAGCAACTTTTAAACAGAGCGTGCACAAGGAGAAATTGGCTTGTGCATGCTCTTGCACAGGTTTAATAGGCTTTCCCTCCTGGGAACGGGTACAGAGTGGTGCATGTGCCTTTTGTTTTTATGTGGAGAGGGCGGTTCTTTTAAAAACATATCACGAAAATCCTCTACTATACTGTACCTTTAAAATGCAGGGCCTGTAAATAAGAAATACACCTTACAAAAGATGATAAGATAAAACGTGGATACATTTTTTCAAAGGTTGATTTAAAATGGTATTATTAATATTAATTCAACTCAATTAAAAATACTTTATTGATTCCAAAGGGAAATTAAATGTTTTTGTAACTCATAGGATTAATTTCAGTGAGTTGTTTTATATACTGGTGCTGCAGCTGTAGGCAGGACAGATGTTTTGTTGCAGTTGGTCTGGTAATCTTGCATCTATAGAAGCTGTTAAGTGAAGCCAATCTGTTTTTCAACTTTTTCTGAAAAGGGTTCTCATTGTTATCCATCATGTTTTTGTTTGTTTTTTTTTTTTACGAAAAATTCTTCTTTCATTTAAATCATCCTAAGAGGTTGTAGGAGAGTTCCCCAAACTGAGCCGCCCTTCTTTATTAAATTGAGCTTCTTTGTCATTTGCTCTAATGCTGTTACTCCAGCAGATAATGGAAAAAGAGACCACACTCTCCAAAATACACTTAAGATAGATATAAGATGGCCAGTAGATCAAATATGATAAAATAAAAAGATAAACTACATTCAAACAAAGGTGAAATGTAGTTGCTCAATAGTTTCCACTGTTGTTTAAGATAAATCTTCAGTGTCCAAAGTTCACTGAGGTCGGAAGGCCTCCTTACCTCACCCTGATCATTTTACCAACATCATAATAATCCAACACTGAGAATAAATTAGTTATTGAACAACTAAACCTATGTTTAATTGCTCTGGTTGGTATTTTGGTTGCAGATTAGCTTTTTTCCCTTTTTTTGTTATGAAAATGTAGTCTTAAAGCAAAAAAAAGACAATGTCATCATGGCTTACGAAGGGATATATCTACATGCTTTACTAAGTATTCAGACTTGTGATCATGGTCGTTTTTGTCACAGTCTGCTTTGCCCTTTGCCATTCATGGCAGGGACTCTCTGGGCCCTGAGACAGATTCTGACTCAAACAAAACCCTTCATCATGTTGTAATCCTTTTTATCTGAGTCGTTTTCCTGAGGGGTAAAAATTCTAAAGACAGGATATTTTAGTGTCATTGTTCTTAACAATATTCAATAAAGCTCAGTGGTCATCTTAAATCTCTGTAACTGATGTTGATCCTTGCTGTGTGAGTCATTATAGCCCCATCAGATGTCAGTTGAAAGGTAAAATAGCAGCTTTGCCTGCAGAACGTTCACTGCATAAATGTATAGTTTGAGTAGGATTCTTTGTTTTTATAGGTATTCTTTGTGTTATTGAAGGGAAAATACCAGTAGATTTTATGACAAAAAAGACAACAAAAAGCATCAGAAGTATTGAGTTGAAACAAAAGTACAGAAGTGCACATTTTTATAAATTTTAAGATTCTTTTCTTAATTGTTTCAGGCATGAGTTGTGAATATAAAGACGAAAAGTTCAAAGGCAGGAATAAACATGAAAACCAAGCTAGTTGTGGTGTTTATTAGAGCTAATTAAACATCGCACTGTAAAAAGCACAAGGCCACGACTTAATCAGTGTTTTATATCAGTTATTTCACAAAGCAACTCATGTATTTGGCCTATTTATAGGAAGATTTATGCACTTTATTTCCATTATGCATTTCAGAAAAAAAATGGAAGTTTATACTTTAAAAAAGGACAAATATGATTAATCTTTTAGATCCCTTGATTTGATCATTTTTGTTTTTATTACAGATTTTTAACCCTTCAGTAAAATACAGGAAGAGCTGAATAATTTTATTCTACAGATTGATGAAAAGAAAGTTTGACAGATATGACCCAATCCTTTTTTTTTTAAACAAATCTGACAGCGGGGAGCAATTAATAAATTGATGGTAAAATAATTTCCCTGCCAACGATGGATAATAAGAGAATAACTAATGATGGATTCTTAAAAGGGGGGTTAAGATTACAGATTACAGAAAACATATAGTAAAATATATAGAAAAGAAGAAATATATTCAAAGTCGGGGGTCAGTTAGACACAACAAAACAGTATGAGGAGAGCGGTGAAATATGCAAAAGTGACTAAGATGATGTCAGAGGGTTGTTGGGAAATATAGAAACAAGTCATGATGGGAGGGTCAGAGAAGAAAAAATGTAGCGGTAAATAATGGATTCAGGAAGTGACATTCATTCAAAAGGTCATTAACTGAGTGAACGATTAGTATACAACAGAGAGAGCCAAGATGGCGCCAGTGTCTGAGGTTTACCATTTCTCTCTGCCCGTTCTCTGTTTGTTATTTAGTGCTACACCTTAACCTCCTCAACCTACATTCAGCAAACACTGCTGGATATTCAACCCCTTCCCTGTTATCTTAAAAACATGAATAATACTGAGCCTAAACTGTTGCCTCCACTATTTGGGATTCCAGCCCTCATTTACTGTAACCTGGCTCCAGGTTAAATGAATAGCTTATTTGGCTTGGAAGGAAAAAAAAAAATATTTTTTTGTCTCATTTTTTCTTTTCTCTTTGCTCTCTGGATTCTAATCATGCCTGGTTGGTTCCAGTTGTGGGCTTTGGTCAGAACTTTAAGCTATGCCTTAACTCTCAGTTTTTCTCTCTGTCTGTGAACCTACGAGGCAATAATGTAGCCAAAAGCTTGAAGAAATTACACATCAGACTCACTGATGAGTGAAAAAAGGATTTCCTCATGAGAGTGACTCCTTTTCATGCCGAAAAGTGAATCAAATGCACCCACCAGTCCTGCATCAAGCCTCACATGCAGCATTGGCATTGGATTCACTGATCTACAACAGGTTTTCATTGGTAAAGGGGCAATAGTGGACAAATATACATGTATGTATATTTTTTTCTTTTGCTTTTTGTCTTTGTTCTTAGACTGCATTGCTAATGTTGGTATCTTTGCCTCAGAATTTGGGACAAACTTATGAACAGAATTCATTTTTTGTAGCAGCATTATTATCGCTACTGAAGCAGTGAGCCAATCTCTAACCAATCAGTGACCGGCAGGCCTTTGACATTGCATTTTTATCATGATTTATCTTACTTGCAAACACTGCTGAGTGAATACTCAGAAAGAAGCTGGTACTACATTGTTGCCTCTACTAGAAAACCTCAAAAAGAGTCTAACTGAGTCGTTACTAGTTGAAAGGGTGCTTTAGTTGTGCACTCCACACATATGGCCTGTAAAGAATTGTACTCTGTTGCATTAACCATGATATTAATATGTGCAGCATGATGCATTCAGGTAGATTAAATCTGGCTGCCTTTGACACAATTGATAAATAATGTAGTTGCGGAGAACAGAGGTTTGGGACAGAATAATCTCAAGTCGTTAATGCAACATTCAACCATAACATTTAAGTTGTTTATAAAAGATTAAAAATTTTATTTTTTAACATTAGTTATTTTGCAAGCGAGTAAAGAAATGCATCCTTTATAGTACAAATGCTGTGGCGAAATACTTTTAAAGACCTGCAGATTTAAATACAATAAAATTTACTCCGTGGGGCTCAGTAGCAGAGCACAACACAAAAGAAATTTCACCTCACACTTATTCACTCTGTGTTTGGCTGCCACATAAAATCTCAATTGAATTAATGAATTTATTTAGGAGGTATTAAAAAAACGCCTTGGTATTTGAAAGGGAATTATAAAGAATACTCTGAGACTGTTTGACAGCAGCTTTCCTTTGGATGACGCTGGCTGTCCACTGACCGTTTCAGCTCATGA